GGCGGATGCCACCTGCCGAGCCGCGGGCGGGCGGGCACAGGCCCCAACGCCTCCCAGCACCTCCAGTATCGACACTTTGCTATTAAGGACATTATATAAATAACTAATGTCAACGTGTAATTAGAGAAGGGCCTGAAATAAAGCAGCGGATGAGGCCCCTCTCTGCCTAACAGCACAGAACACAGCATGGGAGAAAGAGCCAGAATGAAGGGCATGGAAAAGGGAGCTAGGTGAGAAAATCGGGAGTGCCATGGAGGGGCACCTTCTTTGGCATAAAGACCCCTCCTGTGGCTTCAGGCTCCACGTTTGTTACTCCCGGTGTAAAGGGACTGCAGCGGACTGGCAGAGGGGAAAGGAGCTATCAGAGTGATACGGAAGAATACTCTAAGCTAAGCATTTTCCTATCCAGGAGACTCCATTTAGAAAAAGTCTACCTTAATGAAGCTTTTAAAATCAGCACTAAAACCCCCCACAAGTATGGGGGTTTTGGCTGAATTCACTGCCCAGACAATGCAGACAACGCCGAGAAATGTGAGTCTGCTTACAAATGCATCCTGCCCTGAACTAGACCCATCACATGCTGTGTGTTAGGGGAGGAAGAGAGTGACGAGTTTTCAGGAAAAGCAATAGGAAAAAAAAAAAAACACCAAAATGGGAAGAGAAATATGTCCCCAGCTTTAGCAGCAAGACTTCATTGGGATTTGCTGCTTCCCACTGCCTGGGACAGACTGCTCTATTTGTGGCCATTTTCTCTTGCCTTCTTCCACTTCAGCTTGATCATCCTTCAGCCTCGGTCACTGATATCGCGTGGCCTTCCCTGCCCATCTCTGGCTGATCCCTGGACTCTGGTCTCCTGCTCTCATGCTCTCACAGCAGCAGCCTTTCCATCTTGTGATCTCCTCCCCCCCCCCCTCGCCCCCGATCTGATTCGTTTCTGTCCTTCCATAAATTCCTGCGAGGTACAAACTGCCACAGAGATAGCTCAGCCCTTCGTGTCTGGGAGTAGGGAATGCTGAGCTGCTCGGGCACAGCTTCGACCTTGCGCCGCTAACAGCCACGAGACCTCCCTTGCGACAGGGAGAGAGCAAACGGGGAATTCAGATCTACCCCAGAGCAGCCTGGAAGTAGCGGTTACTCCACGCTGAAGAAGGGGTTAAGTCTGCATTGAAACTCAGAGTGCAACCAAGCTGTAACCACCAGTCTGGTTTTGCTGGTTTGGGGGCAGGTGAGTGGCCAGGAATGATCACCCCCAAACCATAAGAGGTCTGCATTGTTTCTGCCTAAACCCATTAACTGTTTTGGTTTGGAGTTTTTTATTTTTTTTGCCTGAAACTCACTCCCCAGGCTCTCTTAAAATTCAGACCCATGCTTCCCGAGCAGCCAGCAGCGGGCTCACTCAAAGGTCAGCCTTCGCTGACTTGAAACTCAGCCCGCACTTGCCTGAAACTCTGCCAAGCTCTTCCAAAAGGCTTGTATCCTGGCCCCAGTTTCGGGTTGCTAATCCAAGTCTCGCTGGGTTTCAGGTTTCCGTGCAAACTTTGGCTTTGGTCTGCGCGAGAATAGCTTCAGGCCACATCTACGCTGCTGGCTGGACCCTTCCTGCCAGGGCAGCCCCCTCCAAGCCAAGGAAGAGGAGGCAGGGCAAAGAGGGTACAGATGGGCCAGATATCCATGACCTGGGACTCACCGTCCCTGAAGCACACGTCCTGCAGCTCCCCAGCTTTGTCCCTTTCCGGGCAATGGCAGCCAGAAGAGCCACCCTTCCTGCCAGGGCAGCCCCCTCCAAGCCAAGGAAGAGGAGGCAGGGCAAAGAGGGTACAGATGGGCCAGATATCCATGACCTGGGACTCACCGTCCCTGAAGCACACGTCCTGCAGCTCCCCAGCTTTGTCCCTTTCCGGGCAATGGCAGCCAGAAGAGCCAAGGGGCTGCGGGCAGCATCCCCTGCCCCAGCGGTGTGCCCAGCCGGAGAGCCCGGCAGGACCAGCGACAGCCGTAGCAGCCACCATGTCAGATGACAGGCAAGACCTAAAGACCTAAAGCTTAGCAGTGCAAAGTTACCCTGCTGAATTGCTTTAATCTGAAGTATAGAATCACAGAATCACAGAATCACAGAATGGGAGGGGGGCGAAGG